CTGGAAGGAGCACCGCCTCCCCCCCCCACCACCACACCAATACCAAGCGCCGCTGGGCTGGGCACCTCGGTGTGAAAGGAATGACAGCCTGGCCCACACCCCGATCACACCACCACCTTTCTGAGCCTCTGTCTCCTCATCTAGTCGGGGAGAGGAGGGAGGAACAATTCCTGCCTTTGCCTGCATCGCAATGTACAGGAGTCTATAAAGATGAAACAGTCCGTGATAAAACACACAGCTGAAAAACCTGGAAGACCATAAAATGTTACACAACTGTAAGGGATTCCGGGCTGGCTGTAACGCGGGCATTAAACTGTAACTGCTCAGAGATATTTACCATAAAAAGTTACCGAGCCCCGGGGAGGGATTCCAGAAGTGTGCTTGCTCCTGGGGGCGACTTTTTTTCTCTCTTCATTTGTGCTTCTTCTAGTTTTCTGATCATTTATTTCTTCTGTAATCAGGGAAGAAGTTATATAAAAGGAATGCTTCTGCAAACAGAAGCATCTCCACTCCTGCTCTGATACTGTTATAGGGAAAGTCTAGCCAGTGACGGAAAAGAGGTTTATCGGCTGCCCTGGAGGTGAAGGTGCCGGCCCACCCTCACTCAGAAGCATCTACACTCCTGCTCTGATACTATGTTATAGGGAAAGAGGCTTATTGGCTGCCCTGGAGGTGAAGGTGCCGGCCCACCCTCACTCACCCCAGCCCGGCTTTTCCCCCAGTGCAGCTGGGGAGCTGGAAGGAGGGCTTTCTCCCCAGTAAAAACCACAGGAAAGGGGTTCCTGGTCCTGTGCCCCCCACACGCTTCTTCCCTGCCTGGTGCACGCAGCCTAGAACGTCCCAAAGGGACACGTATTCCGAGCTTCCCACCCTCCTGAGCTCCAGACCCCATCTGCAGCTGCCCTGGGACACCCCCCTGGCAGTTCTGCTGGCCCCTCAGGCAGCATGTGTGTGGCAGGCGCCATCCAGGGCTCACCCGCTTCCAGGCTCGCAGGCACCCGTTCTCTGGGGAGCAGAACAGGTTCTGTTTGGGGGATGGTGGACCTCAGCCCCAGTCAGAACCAGTCCCTTCTCCTCCTTCCTTCACAGATGTGGGGATCACAATGGACACCCAGCCGGTTCGGTCCCCTGAGGATAAGTTGGCTGGGGAGCTGCTAGAAAAGATTTTCCTTACCAGGTTTAAAAAAAAAAAAAAAAAGCCTTGCCTGGCGGGTGTGGCTCGGTGGTTGAGCATCGACCTATGGACCCAGGAGGTCCCTGTTCCATTCCCAGTCAGGGCACATGCCCGGGTTGCGGGCTCCATCCCCCATGGGGGGCGTGCGGGAGGCAGCCGATCCGAGATTCTCTCTCATCATTGATGTTTCTCTCTCTCTCTCCCTCTCCCTTGCTCTCTCTGAAACCAACTTTTTAAAAAACATACTTAAAAGAGTCTTATGAGGAGACCTTGTGCTCCCACCCCTCCTTTCTGCACTCCATTCGCCAGAGAGGCTGACAGACAGCGCTGGGTCTCTGAAAACATGTTGAGCCGCTGTCCCACTTCCAGAATGCTTTGCTGGGGGCCAAGGAAACTGCTGGCAGTTGGGTATTCTGCTACTTGCAGCCAAAATCATCACAATTTGATACAATGACCAAAGTGACACGCTGCATTTCTCCTTCCCAGGTCTGTTCCTCCATTTCCTGTCTGTAAGGGCCACTTCTGCCCACCAGGCCTTCCACACCCTTCCCTCCTCCGGCCCCGGGCTCAGGTCCCACCCAACTCTGTTCCATGCCTCCTGTGCTCTCCCCGCCTCCGCCACTCCTCAGCTTCAGGCCCTCCTGCCTCCCACCAGAGCTCCTGCAGCTCAGGCCTCAAGTCCCTCCACCTCTGAGCTCCCTCCTCTACCCACACGCTGTTACCCACAGTGCTTTTTCTAAAATACAAACCTGATTATGCTTCTTATTTAAGCATCTATGGGCTACAGACTGATATTCAAAACCTGTGCGTGGCATTCAAGGCCCTTAGCAACATGGCCCCAAACCGCCTTCTGCTCTCATCTGCTGCCACGCCTCCCCCGGGCCTACTCTGTAATTTTAGCTCCTTCAGCGTAGTCACTGCACAGACTCTCACCCTCTACCTTTGTTCTCTGTTCCCTCATCCTTGAATGTGAAGGCCTCCTTACCCTCGACACGCATGTCGAATGTTTCCTCTTCTGTGAAGCTCTCCTCACCACCAATAAACATCCCTTCCTCCGTGAGCCCACAGCCTGTTGTTCCACTTACACCACTATTACAATTCTTATCTTATATTCTAATTATATATTTGCCAGTAAACTAGATTCCTTTAGGGCAAGGATATATTTCAGAGTCCACAGTGCCTCCCAGTACAGTGTTTAACATGAGCAATTAATATTTATTTATTTATTTATTTATTTAGAGAGGAAGGGAGGGGGAGAGAGAGATAGAAACACTGATGAGAGAGAAACATCATCGATCGGCTGCCTCCTGCAAGCCTCCTTCTGGGGATTGAGCCCAAAACCCAGGCATGTGCCCTGACTGGGAGTTGAACTTCGATCTCTGGGTTCCTGGGTTGCCGCTCAACCACTGGGCCACACCAACCGGGCAATCAGTCCATTTTTTGGTGGAAGAGGCAGCAGTACACAACACCTCCTGGAACACAGTCCCATCCTCCTTACCACGGCCCCTCCCTTCTCCCTCCCACTTCCCATCCTGTCCAAACTCCTCTTCCCGGCCATGGACTCCCAGGGGAAGAATCCCACCCTCTTCCATGGAATCATGAGTTGCATGTGTGTGAGCGGGAACAGATCCACTAGGTTCTGCTCACTTTGGCCCTCAGTAAAAGAGCTGGACGAGTTAGTAGCCAAAAGAATCTGGCTTTAGCTTGGCAACATCCAAAGCACTTTCCCGCATTGTGAAATTCTCCAAAATCTAGAGAAGCCGATGCCCAGATTTCATCTAAAACATAAGCTCCAGGACAGCTGGGATCTCTCCTCTCGTTCTCCGCTAAGCCCCCCGCCCCAATCCGGAGTCCAGTCCAGATTGCGTGCTCCATAAACACTTGTTGAATGAAAGTCACCCTCAGGTTTGTTTCTAGGTTCTAAGAACCAGTCACTCAAGTGTTCAGCAACTGAAGATAGCTGAGTGTGCGTGCGGATGTGTGTATTTATATCTACCCCGCCTCATTCCAATGGCAAACTCTGAAACAGGCAATGGAACGTTATGCTGCCATTAAAAATATTGTTTAGCCCGGCCTGCGTGGCTCAATGGTTGAGCACCGACCTATGAACCAGGAGGTCATTGGTTCAATTCCCGGTCAGGGCACATGCCCAGGTTACTGGCTCCATCCCCAGTGGAGAGCATGCAGGAGACAGCCAATCAATGATTCTCTCTCATCATTGATGTTTCTATCTCCCTCTCCCTTCCTCTCTGAAATCAATAAAAATATTTTAAAATATTGTTTGTAAATATATATAAATTGTTTTTTTTGTTTTTTATAATATATTTTTATTGATTTCAGAGAGGAAGGGAGAAGGAAAGAGAGAAACATCAATGATGAGAGAATCATTGATCGGCTGCCTCCTGCACATCCCCCACTGGGGATTGAGCCCACAACCTAAGCATGTACCCTTGACCAGAAGCGAACCTGGGACCCTTCAGTCCACAGGCCAATGCTCTATCCACTGAGCCAAGCTGGCTAGGGCTACAAATGTATGTAAATTGTTCACAGCCCTAGCCAAGTGGTTCAATTGGTTGGACTGTCATCCCATACACAAAAGGTTTTGGGTTTGATTCTCGACTGGGCACCTATGGAAGACAACTAATCAATGGTTCTCTCTCACATCAATGTTTCTCTCTCCCTTCCTCTCTCTCTAAAAATCAATAAAAACGTATACTCTGGCGAGGATTTAAAAGAAAATTACTAAAAACAATGTTGTTTACAAAGAGTTTGCAACATGAAAAATGTCTTCTGTCATAAAGTTAAAGGAGAAAAAAAAAGTACAGGAAGGAAATGTGTGATATTTATCACACTATGTAAAAGCAAGCAACCCCCACCCCACCCCCAAATCTCACAAGCAAAAAGCTGGCTGGAAAGGGATGATGTTAACAGTGGCTGGTGGCTCCTCCTCCCCTTTATTCTCCTGTTCTCTCTCTCTCTCTCTCTTTTTGTTAATCCTCACCCAAAGATATTTTTTTCCATTGATTTTTAGACATAGTGGAAGGGAGGGGGAAACACAGAGAGAAACATCTATGTGAGAGAGACACATGGATAGATTGCCTCCCCAACTCGCCCCACCTGCTGGACCCCACCAGTGCCCGATTCCTGCACCAGGCCTCTAGTTATTAATAAAGTGGGAAATATACGCACTTAACTAATAAAGTGGGAAACACATACTTTATTTTTCAAAATGACATTGAGGGAACGGCACAGAGGCTCAGGCCTCCCACCCCTACCCCACTGTCTAAAGATACCCTCAGGGGCTGGGCCAGGTTAGCAGGCGCCCCGGACCCTGTGGCTCTGCCACCCCGACCACAGGGTGCTCAGTAAAGGAGTAGCAATCGAGAAGCTCTGCCAGTTCCAGACTGGAAATGGCGCCTCCCGGCGGGCAGTGCCCCCAGAGGTGGACAGTCTGTCCCTCCGGATGGCGGGCCTCCTGCAAGACACTCAGAGGGTTAATCCTGTCTCAGAAATTCACAGGGAGGCCCAGGAGGGGAATTTCCCAGACAGGCAGACAGACAGACACCTCAGACCGCTCCCGCCACTAAGCACAGATGTTTGCCTGGGGTGGTGAGAGCCTTCACAAGCGCGCCGGCTTGCGGTGAGAGGAAGCCCAAAGCCAGAGACAGACCCGCCTGGGCAGGCTGGGGGCTGCGGTGGGGGAGGGAACGCGGTGGGCTGGTCTTCAGGCCGAGTCTCTGGGCATCTCCCTGTTGTCTGTCTGGGTCCCGCAGTGCCTGCAACTCCCCTCTGCGTCCAGCAGGCGGCGCAGCGGCTCTGGAGTGTGGATCTGCAGTCTGCGCTCCGACGCTTCCAGGCAAGTTTGCTGTGTAAATAGTGGTTTGTCTATTTCCCCCACTGGTCCCGAGGCTCCCCAAGGGCAGGAATGTTATCTTAGTCGCCGCCTTACCTTCGAGGCTAATTACAACACCCGGCCCCTAATGGGTGCCCCATTAGGTCTGAAACACGACCCCCAAACACAAAGATATATGCATAGGAGAGTAATGAGATCAAAGCCTGCAGTGAGAATGCTGGGGAAAGCGCCAAGCCGGGGAAGGAGGCTCCGTGTTCCGTTCGTGCTTCCAGTCCACCCCCCCCACACACACACACCTTTTTTTCCCCCAGTATTTTAAGACATATGGCATAGTTTGTTACTGGAGAATAATCATAAATATGCTCAGTATGTCATAGCATAGAGAGTCAGAAGTAGCAATTTATTTTGGCCCTTAGGACTCACATATAAATTCACTTGGGTGATCAACAGAAAAATAACAAATAAGAGGATGATGTTTTTTCAGCCAATTTTTGGCTATTCGACACTTCGTTACCTCCTAGCAGCGCAGCCGAGGGACCCGACGCGTTCCCGCCCTGCAGTCCCATCAATCAGAGAAAAGGGGGAATGTGCCCGAACCATCTCCTCCAGGGGGCAACCCTGGGCTACCCTCTCTGTGGAGCTGCCATCACCCCTCCGCTCCCCTCCTTAACCCCTCTCCCGTGTCTTTTCAGAGCAGGAAGTGGATAGAAGTACCTTAACTAAACAGTGATGTCACCCACTCAACAGACAATTATTGACCTGCTACTAGTATGCCCAGTGCTGTGCCAGGCGTGGGCAGTGCAGCAGGACACCAAACGCCCTGCCCTCGTGGCGCTTCGATTCCGTGGGACACAGACGGGATAATCTCTCGTTGGGCACGTGGGAAGCCGACACCCAGGTGACCTCCCAGGTGAGTAAAAAGCGCGTGAGGCCCCGCCCTGGAGATGGTCGGCGGATAGACTTCGGCCCCGGCAGGAGGGGCGGGCTTCGGGTCGGTAAAACGTCCGGCTGGGCACGTCTCCTGGAGCAGGAGCGAGCCAGGGGGTGGAGGCGGGGGGAGGGGGAGAAGGCGCGCAAAGCTAGGTCTAGATCTCTAGACCTTAGTAGGCAATGGGTAAATATTTACGGTCCGCCCGGCACGTCCGACCTCACGCACTTGCGCCCC